ATGGGGAAAATGGCCAGGGTGGTTGACACAATCACTCCTAAGCATCCCCTCCCATGAGGTGGAGCCAAACTAGCCCCCTGGTTTACTGGGAAGCTGGTGGTGATAAACCAAATGGGATTGCAGTAACACTGAGTTAATCTGACTGAACATAGGCTACAGCCCACTGGAAGGCCTATTCTGTGGCAGTGGGCTACAGCCTACTGGAAGGCCTATTCTGTGGCAGTGGTGGCAGCAAAGAAGTCATTCTTCACTACCACCATTGTGTCTGCACAGAGTCGCCCAGTTGTCTGCACAGAGTCTCCCAGTGGAGCTTTTCCGAATAGTCAAGGGCCTCTTATATGATGGCCCACAGGAAGTTAATGTTGACCACTTTTCCGAATGGTCAAGGGCCTCTTACATTATGGCCCACAGGAAGTTAATGTTGACCACTCACTAGCTAATTGTGAAAAAATTGTGCAGCAATTTGTGGGCAAAATTGTTTGAATCTGCTCTGACGTGGATGCTGTAGCTAATGCAGGCCCTGTAGAATCATATAGTCATAGAATAATTACATTGGAAGGGGGTTATAAGGCCATCAAGTCCAACTCCCTGCTCATTGCAGGAATACAAATCAAAGGGTGTCTGCCGAGTGGCTGTCTAAATTTGTCTTGAATGCCTCCAGTGTTGGAGCACTCACCACCTTTTGAGGTCATTGGTTCCACTGTTGTACTGCTCTAACAGTTAGGAAGTTTTTCCTGATACTCAACTGAATGTCTTCCTGTAACTTTAGCCCATTATTGCGTGTTCTGCACTCTGGGTTGATTGAGAATGGATTCTGCCCCTCCTCTGAATGACAGCCTTTCAAGTATTTGGAAAGTGCTATCATGTCTCCCTTCAGTCTTCATTTCTCAAGGCTAAACATGCCAAGTTCTTTCAGTCTTTCCTCAGATTTCCAGTCCCCTGAATCATCCTTATGGCCCTTCTCTGAACTTTTTCCAATTTGTCAGCATCCGTTGGCCCTGTGGCCCTTCTCTGAACTTTTTCCAATTTGTCAGCATCCTTCTTGAAGTGTGGTGTCCAGAATTGGACACAATACTCAAGGTAAAGGCTGACCAGTGCTGAATAGAGCATCCTTGCTAGTCAGTTTGATTTGGTTGTGGTTCTAGTATATGAGCTTGCAAGGAGATGCACATTCACTTGTTTTCTTCTACCAGATAAAGTTAACAGTACACCTTTTCTGGACATGGCTGAAGATAAATGGTTCTATCATGAGATGATGAGATTTGTCAACATCCTTCTTGAAGTGTGTGGTGTAGAAGTATGGCTCCTGCTCGCCCAGTGCTGATGGATAAGTTTTGGTTTTTACAGCCTGATGATTTGGGCAGGACCCTTGGAGAGGTCAAGGCCACCACTTGTCTCCTGGACCCTTGCCCTTTCTGGCTTATAAAAGCTGCCAGAGGAGGACTGGCCAAGTAGGTCCAAGGGTAGTGAATGCCTCCTTGCAGCAGGGTAGCATCCCAGAATGCTTAAAGGAGGCAGTAGTAAGACCATTATTGAAAAAGCCCTCCTTGGACCTCACAGTATTAGATAATTACTGGACACTCTCTTAATATCCCATTCTTGGGCAGAGTGCTGGAGCGGGTTGTGGCTTCTCAGCTCCAGGGGGTCCTGGATGAGATGGATTACCTAGATCCATTTCAATCTGGCTTCAGGCCTGTTTATGGGACAGAGACTGCTTTGGTTACATTAATGGATGACCTACACTGGGAACTGGACAGGTTTAATGGCTGACCTACACTGGGAACTGGACAGGAGGAATGTGTCCCTGTTGGTTCTGCTGGGCATCTCAACTGTTTTTGATACGATCAACCATGGTATCCTTCTGCCCCATCTCTCTGTGATGGGACTTGGAGGCATTGTTTTACAGTGGCTCTGGTCCATCTTGCAGAGGGTGGTGCTGGGGGACTCCTGTTCTGGCCATTGGCCTGTGGTGTCCCTCAGGGATCTGTTTTGTCCCCTATGCTATTTAACATCTACATGAAAACGCTGGGAAAGGTTGTCCGGAGTTTGGGGGCTCGGTGTCATCTGTATGCTGATGATACCGACTTCAAATCCAAGGAAACTGTTTTAGTTCTAAATCAGTGTTTGGTATGAGGAATAGACTGGATAAGGGTGAATAAAATGAACCTTAATCCAGATAAGACAGAGGTGCTCCTGGTCAGCTGAAAAGCAGATCAGCTTGTGCTGGTTACACTCCTTCTGAAAACACAGGTGCACAGCTTGGGGGTGCTCCTGGATTAATCCCTGAATCTGGGTGTCCAGGTTTCGGTGGTGGCCAGGAGTGCCTTTGCACAGTTAAAACTAGTATGCCACCTGCACCTATTTCTTGAGAGAGCTGATCTGGCCATGGTGAAACATGCCCTAGTTACATTCCAACTGGATTACTATAATGCATTCTATGTGGGGCTGCCTTTGGAAAGTGTTTGGAAACTCCAAAGGGTCAAAAATGCAGCAGCCAGATTGCTGACTGGGACTGGTTACAGATATCATGCTCCACTGGCTGCCGATCCATTTCCAGCCACACTTCAAAGTGCTGGTCTTAATCTATAAAGCCCTAAAGGTTTGGGTCCAAGCTATCTAAAATATTGTATCTCCCTCTATCTTTACTGTCCTTCTGCAGGCAGGCAAAGACCTTTGACAGGCTTTCCCTTAATAACTGGTGGTCTGAGAAGGGTTTTTAAATGGATTGTTGTGCTCTGTTGTTTTAAATGTGTTTTAGTATTCATTGTATTATCGTTTTTAATACAATATTTGTTTAACTCTTTTTAAACATTTGTATATCTACTGTTTATAGCTTTTAAATGCTGTCTTTTTAATGATGTAAGCTGCCTTGGGTTCTTTGTAAGGAGAAAAGTGGGATCAAATATTTTAAATAAAATAATAAATAAATACAGTAAATAAATAAATAGTTCTGAATCCATTTTTAACACCAGATTCATATTTCATATTAATGGTAATGCTTTTCCCTCATGGCCAACTAGCTACCCCCAACAAGCTGAGCTCTACTACAGATGACGCCCTTTTCAGGCCAGTATGATTAGTTCCCTACCCATTCTTGAGGTTACTTTATTTCAGTTTGTTTTTAAGCTGATTTGAACAACATGAATTTTAGCAATCATTCTCCTTTTTTTAAAATTTCAAATCATGTTTTTAAAGTACTGTTTTGCATGTTTTGTAGTTTTGTATTCTACTTTCCAAAGCTATTTATATTACCAGTAGTGGTTTATAAGATTCTTAAACAAACTTTTAAATTCACAGTGACACCCTGTTCGTTACTTCCTTAACGGTATGTTCCCATGGATGCATGAGGGTTTCCTTCACAGGATGTATCTGCACAGCACTGATGGACTAGATACCCAATACAAATACAGGAGCTGATGAATATGTATACAGTATGCAAAGAACAATAATGCTAGGAGGTATTATTGAATGTGAAGGCAACAGAAAAAGTGGAAGGCGATTTGCTCCTTAACAAAAGCCACAGGCTATTGAGAACAGGACATTTTGAAGATTGCTCATTCATAGGGTTCCCATACGTCTTAAGGTGACTTGATGCCACATAACAACAGGACAGAGAAGGGAAAATTTAACTTTTTGGACAAAATACCTCAGCCAGCATGGCCAGTGTCCATGCTGTCTGGGATATCCTGGGACCAGCAGTTAATATATATGTATATTTTCCATCCCTGCACAGTATGGCTTAGGCAGTTCCTGGCACGATAAACAGTCAAGAAGACCCTTCATCCATTTCAATAGGAAAGTATGGCTTTTCATATGTTGTTGGATTGCAACTCCCACCTAGGCAATTCCCTTAGGCAAATGGCATCAGATGACAGGAGCAATATAAAGGACCCCCTGGTCTTCACCAATGTGAAACTTTTAACATTTCACGTAGAATTTTGACATTTTTGCAGGGCAGCCTGAACAAATAATAATACACCTGCATTCAAGCTAATTCCAACTTACGGTGACCCTTTTCAGGGGTTTCTAGGTACAAAGTACTCCAGTATAGTTTACTGTTCCTTTCTTCCGGAGGTGTTCAAAGGCCATGCAGCTTGCCCAAATCCACAGACAAGCTCTTCTCTAGGGAGCACAGGGTGGAATTTAAACTCCTGATCTCTGGGTCTACAGGCAGATGCTGTCCTACCTGTCATAAACCAAGACAGCCCAGTTCCCAAGCTTCTCTCTCAAAACAAGAAAGAACAAAAGATAATGAACCGTGTGGGCACAATGATGACCTGGAAGGAAATAAACTTCCCTGCCCACTAGTGATTCTGCGCCATAATGCAGCAAGTAGAGGGGATTCTTCTCCCTAAAATTACAAATTGTGTGGGGTGGGGTGGGGAAACACCATGCATCCTAGGAATGAAAGGCAGAAGGCATGCTTTTTCCTGGGGGCGGGGAAGGGAAAATAGACATGGCCTGGAAGTCCATGTCTTTTCAGCAGCCGTGGTTAACGAGCGTTGGTGGGTAAAAAAATCTGACACGGCTCCATCCGCTTTGTGGTTCGTCTGTCATTTGCAAGTTTCTGTCGAATGTATGCAAAGGACAATCGCTGTGTATAGTTTTGGGCTACAGCTTGATGGCTGGCACACCAGCTGCGCCCGAGAAAAAGCCAGCATGCCGTTGAAGAGGCAAAGGAACAGTCATGAGCATATGATTCCCAAGTCATACCCCGCTGGGGAGATTCCTTTTTCCTCACTCTCTGCGGGCTGCTTTTCCTGTTTTTCTATTGCATTGGGATCGTTGAAGTCCGCTCATAACATAACCAAAGGGTTAATTAAGGCGGCTTTTAACTTCTGCTGCGTTTGGCAGCCGGAACAATCTGCTGGGAGCAAAAAAAGGACAAGCAGGGAGGAGGAAACACGCCCAGCAGCTGGGACTGAGAGTGTGTGTGTGTGTGTGAGAGAGAGAAATCAGATCCCTTGTTTGCAAAGTGGTCAGTGTGAGTCATCAGGGGGATTAGGCATGTCGTTGCTGACGGGGAGGCCGGGCGCGCACCGACCCAGCCGCATGCTTAAATCCTTCTGTTGCAATGATGAGTAAAAAGCTGGGGAAAGCACGAGCGGCCGAAGCCACCCGGCGTCCCATTGGAAGAGGGCGGGAGCGGAGGAGGAGGCGGGCGCTCCACTCCTCCCGCCCACCGCGCCGCGCAAGGCGGAGGCTCCGCTCCGAGCGAGAGGCTGAGGAGCGAAGTTGCCGGGCGAGGCAGGAACTTCGCCTCCGCCGCGCTGGGATAACGCGAGCCCGCCGCCGGCGCGCAGCAGCAGCCGCCGCTATGCCCTCGCTCCCACCATGAGCCGCCGGCCGACCTCGCAGGGGGTGGTGTTAACCGCCTACCACCCCAGCGGCAGCCCCACCGCTCTCCGCGCCGGCGCGGACGGGGCGGCAGAGAGCAGCGCCCCGGAGAATGCCGACGCTTCCCCCTTGAGGTAAGGGCGGGCGGGCGCGCTCTCTGCGCCGCCAGGGTTTCCCCGCTCGCCGGCCTTGGGAGCCGGAGCCGCACACGGAGAGGGAGGAACGGGCTCCGCTCCCGTCCGCGCCTTACCTGTTGACGTAAGCATGGTGGCTGGAGCCAGGTATGAAGGGCAGGTGGTGGTGGTGATGTTGGGCTCCTCGTCGATCATATGACCGGCGTTCAGATGTCAGATGAATGCCGAGAGAGAGCGCCGGCCGCGGAGAGCGAGGTGCGGTGGTGGCGCGCCTGGCCGGGCGCTGCAGGAGAAGGCGCGGCAGGTGCCTCGAGGAGCGCGCAGGTCGCGGCACCAGTCGCGCGGGGCAAAAGGCAGTGAAAGTGAGGCATGAAAACGCGCGCCTCCCGAGTCCCCTCCGCAAGGAGGAAAGCCGCGGTGCCGTAGGAATCCCCTCCCTGTTGCTCTCCGCTTGTCTTGCTGAGACAAAGCGCGTGGGGTTAGGCAGGGCGGGACATCCTTTAGTCCCACATGGCAGGCTTCTTTGAAAAATTGCGATTTACTGTACCATGTATTTTATACTCCTGCGGAGAACTTTCAAGGAAGCAACAATCCACGAAAACTCGCATATTGTTTTTTTCCAGCGCTCTGTAATGGTGTTGCCAACTTTTTCATTTGTGTTAACCATATGCTGTGCATTTATTCCAATGTTCAGCAACTTCAAGTAAGCAAGGACATTTCATTTCCCAGTATAAGCCAGTTGTAGGGTGTGTAACAGGAGAAAGGGGCTCTTCTTCATGCAGGCCAAGGATCCAGTAGTGCAGGGAATATTTGTGAGATGTTTGTCAGTTAGCGCATACATGTGCCAGTCCTCTGGTCATTTCCTTCTAGGTTTCTCCCTAAGGGACAAAAGAAGCAATCCATTGGTCTGCTTTAAAAGCATGTTTTCTTTGAGAGAAGGGGGCATCCCTTTGAAGAAGAGGTTTTTATCCAAACGTGACTAGTATAGCAAAAGCCAGAAGGTTATCAATTACTGTATACTGTACATTCTTTTACAAAGATCCTCTTTTCCCATAGATTGCAGACGCATGAGCTCAATTTCCCAGTATGTGTACTGTACTTTGATTCACCCAAGCATTGTTTTTCTGTAATGACCTCTCTGCCTCACTTTTATTGCCTCTGAGACATACCTGTAAAGGCTGATTGCATACAGAGGTGAAAATCTGCATTCAAGGTGAAAAGAAACAAATCTTGTTTCTTGTTAATTTGGATTGCTAGATGAAGAACAATAACTGTGATGCCAATAGAATTGGCTTCAACAGCATTCATGCACATCTGTCATTTCATTACAGAGATGTCCTTAATGCCTTATTTCTTCACCATATGGGTTGTCTTTTTTAATGATATTTTTAAAATATCTGCTTGCTTGAAGAAATAATGAGGTACAGCACTAAGGTACTGATGCAAAATGTTGCCAGGCATTGCAAGATAAATCTCTGACCTGTTGTGTCATATCTGTGCCACAATTACCTTAATAAGAATTTTGAACAATGGAGCTTACTCAACAATAACAGTAGAAGAACCAACACTTGAATGCCCTTCTTGTAATGTAGGTGTGATTGGTGAGTGTGAATTAAGCAGTTGAAACCAGTGGCCTCCGTCCACATACAAAAACACAACTTCTTGCACACATCAGTCTTCATATGGACTCGGAGATAAATTTCATTTAAATTGGTAAGACTTTCTTCAAAGTAAATAGGTTTAAGAGATTGTGGGTATAAACTGCATATTCCAGATTGCAAAGGTCCCTCACTGGAGAGAAGGGGAAGCATTATGCCAGAAGTTCTGCAAAGTAGATAAGTGACCTCTTTGTCTCAGTCAAGCAAAAGCATGTATGTTATAATAGTGTTTTTCAAGTTTTACTACACAATTTTTTTCCTGAGAAACACATGCAGGTGTCAGGTAGACCTGTGAGCTTATGGGACTCCTTTGCATAAAGCTGTCAATTCTCGAATTGAGCTGGTACAGGCCAGTGGGTTGTAGTGCCTGGCTGTGCATCTAGTGCCTGCAAGTTCATGTCCCACTGTGTTGTCTGTGAGGGGAGCAAGCTGAGATCATCCAGGGCATGTGTGCCTGGTAGGGTTATGTGCTCCTCCACCTGTATGACCTTGGGCAACCTGCGCAGTCACAGAGCACCATCAGAAGGAGGGACTGGTAAACTACCTCTAAGTGCTTTGTGCCTAGAAAACTCTGATAAGGTCACCATATGTCAGAGTAGCCTTGACTGTACCTAATATAATCATTTGCAATTTGGGGGGGGGNGGGGGTGGGGGAACCAAGTTTCTCTGAGATGACATTTTAATCAGGCACAGGTACTCATTTCATGCTCTTGGAGAAATACCAAGACAATGGTAGCAGGGACAATGATAGATTATCTGGCTTTTCTGGTAATTTCTGATATAAAATTATTAAAGGTCACCTGATAGATCAGACTTTATTCTTTGCTATATAGCCAGAATCCATTGTAATAAATCAGTAGGAAATTTCCTCAAGAAAAAAATCTTTGCTTTTGCCAGCCATAAGCTGAGCAGTATAGGGAATTTAACCCAATATCCCAGTTCCTGTCTCTTCTTACATCTGAATCTTTGTTATTTAGCAAAAATTAAACAATTGCCAACAAAAGTCAGAATAGTCAAAGCTATGGTTTTTCCTGTTGTGATGTATGGAAGTGAGAGCTGGACCATAAAGAAAGCAGACCGCCGAAGAACTGATGCCTTTGAATTGTGGTGCTGGAGGAGGCTCTTGAGAATCCCCTGGACTGCAAGGAGAACAAACCTATCAATTCTAAAGGAAATCAACCCTGAGTGCTCACTGGAAGGACAGATCCTGAAGCTGAGGCTCCAGTACTTTGGCCATCTCATGAGAAGAAAAGAGTCTTTGGAAAAAACCTTGATGTTAGGAAGGTGTCTGCGAAGCAGCCAACATGAATTTGACACAACTCCGGGAGGCAGTGGAAGATAGGAGGGCCTGGTGTGCTCTGGTCCATGGGGTCACGAAGAGTCGGACACAACTAAACGACTAAACACACACACAAAAATAGATCATATGAGTTTATAACTAGAAAGATCTAGTATAAAAAGGCAGACCATAATGGCTGAAACCCTGTTGCTTGGTATAAGAAAGTTTATAACTTTTAGTTTGTAAGTGGCAAAGCGTCCCCACTGCAATTCTCAGGCCACATACTCAGGCCTGATTAGTGCGTGTGTACACCCCTCCCTTGAGGTGTTGTGATGGGGACTTTTTATTTGCCAGTTAGGAACAGATTGAATATTACAAATGTTCTTATGCTAAGCAAAAAGATTTCAGACAATATGTGAAAAATACAGCAAAGCTTCTGTTCTTTTCTCAGTTAATCTGCAAAACCAAATGTCCTGACAGGTTTTCAAATATGAAAACTGTGAATTATATCCTTTTCCCTCGTGATTTATATTCATTTTCCATATCTCACACATCACCTGATACTCTTGTATTCGGATAGGTCCTTATAATTACTGCTAGATAATATTAAATGCTACTTAGAACACTTTTACTGACTGGTAGGGCAAGGCCCACATACTCATCATCTGAATGTCTTGGCCACCATTCAGCCTTCAGTTATGCTTTTCCTTTGGGTAATATTTTTGATGATGGAAGACCAGCCTACACTGTCATAATATGCACGTTAAACAAACCAAATTGATGTATGTGCCATTGGCTTCAATGGCTTTTTTTCCCTGTGTACAAGGTAGCTGCAGGTGATAAGATCAAATAGACCCCATTCACTATTCATTACCTCAATGTTGCTGACGTTTCTGCCAATTAGAGATGGTTAGCACAATCATAACTTTAGCATTCCTCCTAAAACAGGAGTGACAGATTGGTGATAGTATCAGAGGAATTCAGTATAAACAATATATTGTTATGGAGCCAACGTTCTTGTTGGAATTCAAACAGCCTTCCTTTTTCATTTTAAAATAAATGTTTACTAAGTGTGCATCTAGGTAGAATATATAATTGCAAAATACTCCGCTGTTGTGTTTTGCTATCCTTGTTCATTAGGTATTCTTGTTTAAGTCTGAATCTTTGCTTCTCTGCATTCTACTGACATAGTGCTGACTGACTGTGTTGTATGTCTGCATATTTTAAAATAATGTTACAGTTTAATTCTATGGTGCTTTTTGCCTGCCAGTCTCACATAGTTAAATAGAACTTGCTTCGTAGGAAATGTGCAGCATTCGCAGGATTGCAGGGCACACGATTGATTTAGATGTTTAAATTAAAGGGTTCCTAGGGCAGTTTGGTTTCTAGCATTGGGAGTTCCCCACTGCTTCCCAAGGAGATAACATCCCAAAGGAATGTAGGTTTGAGTCTATTTGTGTAGATGATTCAGCTTGCTGTGTGCCTGCTGGTATGATTTCCATCGTTGTAAGGCATGGCAAACTATAACAGGAAAATCAGCAAAGATTTATTTTCAGCTACAGTGCATTTTATACTTTAAATTTAATGTTGCACAGAAAGAGTTTGGATTTGATTCAGAAGCATGGTTTTTTTCAAAGCATCAGGAGATTTTTCTGGGAGAATAACTGTATGGTGGTTTCCGCTTGTCAGTTCTCTGGTTTGAAGAAAGGATCCTTCTGTAGAGGAAGTGACCATAAATTAACTTGATGAGGTCAGCATTTATGCTGAGAAGTTGAAGTTTAGATTTGACCATCCTAACTCTATGAGCCTGCCAGTATGGTAATAATTTCACTTCTGTAGGACAGAAAGGAAGTGGAAGGATGTTGGCATGCTTTTCATTTTTTTTACATGCCAGCCCCAAACAAGGTATGTCGAGTTTGGTTTTCCTCCAAGGATACATTCAAGCTTTTGGTTGCACTTTCTATTTGCTGGAATTATTATTCTTATTTTTAAAATGAACAAGATATTGTTTTGATGTGAAAAACCTAACAATTGCTTGAGTAACATTTATTTTATTGTAATAC